TTATTCTTCTAACGGTAGGTAAAGAAAGTTGATAAGAAAAGAGATATGGGCGTAGGAACCACCAAACCTGAACCCCAAAAAACTAGACCGCAGTTAAGATTTTGTGAAATATAAATTCTTGTTTAACTGCATAAATTCTTGTTTAACCGCATATTTTTCATATCACTATTGACCTTCAAACATGGAATATACTGTGGGTCTTTTACTAACCAACGTTTTGCCATGTTGCCTTTCTCTTGTATCTATCTATATTTCTGAGATGAGGTATTATGTACATTATTTACATTATTCGGACTATTGTCCTCATCTTTGTCGCCATATTTATGACAACGTTTCAGCTATTGTACGCTCCGGCCTTCTTCAGGTGGTTGGAATGTTGAACTGAACCCTTTATTTTTTATGTTTAATGGATGTCAGTTGTCAGTTATCTCTTGTTAATTTCCCTCTGAAAGTTCTCCACTGCCATAACCGGGTATTGAACTCACACTCTTTCGGTCCTGTCACCTTTTTTCGCTCACTGGGGTAGACTGTTCTAGTTCCACGTGCTAATGGATGTCAGTTATCAGTTATCTCTTGTTAATTTCCCTCTGAAAGTTCTCCACTGCCTTAACCGGTTAGATCCAGTGACAGGACCCAAAGAGCGCGAGTTCAATACCCAGTTAAGGAAGTGGAGAACTTTCAGAGGGAAATTAACTGATAACTGACATCCATTAAACATGGCACGTGGAACTAGGACATTCTACACCAGTGAGCGAAATAAAGGTTTAAGGTTGACATTCCAACCACCTGAAGAAGGCCGGAACGTAGAACGGCCGAAACGTTGTAATAAATATGGCGACAAAGATGAGGACAATACTCCGAATAATGTAAATAATGTGCCTTTCTCTTATATCATCATTTCACTATTATGAAAATTTGTATTGCCGTTGTATTAAAAGGTCGTTACCTGTACAGAATCTGTTGTATTTCTGTTTTCTTTCTTTCTTTCTTTCTTTCTTTCTTTCTTTCTTTCTTTCTTTCTTTCTTTTTTCTTTGTAATTAAAATAATCTTAACGTTCTTAAATTATTTCTTTCTTTCTACTATTTCGTTTTGTTTTTATGTTATCTTATAATTTATTTTATAATTTTAATTAGTATGATTTTCTTCAGAAAATGTACAGGAAAAATTGATGATATATTTTTGTACTTTTTATTTTCTTATATTTGTTTCGTTTTTATTTTTTTATTTTAATCGTGGCGTGTATTGTGTCAACAATCACCCTGACTTGGAAACAAGTCCGGATTTCAATCAGATAAACATCATTCTTTAACACACACACACACACACACACACAAACGCACACACACACACACACACAGATGCACGCAGACGCACACGCAAATCACACATTCATATGTACAGACATTAACACGCAGATACACACGCTAGCAAAAAAACCTCCACAGATTAAGACAGAAACACAAATACATACACGCACTAACAAATACAAACGCACACCACACAAAATCACGCATCAACACATATACACACACTGGTAACTACACACTAACAAACACTATCACACGCACACACGCATTAACACACTCACGTACACACTCACTACGATACACACGCAAACACATTCATATACACACACTAACATATATATACACGCAGCTACAAAACACTACCTGTTAATAATCACACTAACGCACACATAAACATGCACACTCTTGTACGCGCATACGCACGCACATATTAATACATATTCAAAAACACATATACAAAGACACACACTAGCAAAAGCATTAAAAAGCACGCAGGAAAGTATATAGATACACACATTAAACCACATGCATATACACACATAAGCATAAAGATTTACTTTTACTAATTATCTATCTCATTTTTACGTAAATATTTTTTGTAGCTTTCTTTCTTTGCACTGCTTTTCCTAAACCGCCTCCATCTTCTTCAAGTCGAGACCATTATTGTTTACATCTTCATGATTGTCCGCATTCGTTAAACTATTTTCAAGGAGAAAAAAATCTTGTCACGAATGTTATTCCCACATTTTAATTGTTATGTCTGCGACTTATATACATACACACACACACACACACACACACACACACACACACACACACACACACACACACATATATATATATATATATATATATATTCGTTTCAGAAAAAAATGATTTCATTTACTTTTTACCGTCTGCGTTTTCGTTAATGTCTTATATTTTATTTTAGATTTCGATCTTGAATATTTTTTGAATGAGTGATTTGTGAATTTTTGAGTTAATAAGCAGTTACTTCAACAAGAAAAATAGTTAAATGAGAAGAAATCAAACCAAAGTGCAAAAGGTCAGAAATTTTGAACGCGGGATTTGAATAACCACTTCTTTTCTTTCTTTTTTTTATTCTGGTTAACTGAAATCCTTTTACGAATATAACGCCGATATCTCTTTGTTAGGAATAGATATTTTCTCATGAAAACGTATTATTTAATAGAATCATTGTCTGTAATGTCTCTGATAATGTTCAATTGTGACTTAAATGGTTATAATTCGTATGGCTGACTGGCTATTGAACTTTCTCCGGGTAAGTTAGAAATTACATCTTTTCAACAGAGTTCCAGAAATATGAAAATGATTTGATGATTAATTAAAGTATCAAACTGATAGACGTCGTGCAGTGTTATATTCTCTGTCAACTGTCACAATATATATTATGCCGATGATGGTCATCCCTTGTTTCCTGTTTCCTTTTAAATCATACTTTAACTTTATACTTCTAACGACTCTGAAATTTATACTATTATTGCATTTCCGGTTCCTTTAAAAGTCTTTTCCTTCTCTTTCACTTCAAGTAGCCCCTTGCATCTAAGTGGTGTTATCGCCTTGCTTGGGGTGAATTGATTTTTAAAATTATTTATTTCTTCCGAATATAACCTCCAATCAGTTGTTAACTGGTGTAAGATATGGTTTGTAGATTTTAACGACTCCAAAACGAAACTACTATCCTTTAATTACCATAGAAAATAATATTTGTTTTCCGTCAGAAATGATGATTCCTTCCGGAGAGCCACGCATTAAGCCTTCTTGGTTGCAAGTTTTTGAAGTGCAGTGATTATATGAAATAGATGTGCTGACAAGAAAGTTGCTTCATTGTATAGCGACAGACAATGTTTCAAGACAGAATCCATTTTGCAAAATTTATATATCTGCTTTTCGTCTGTGCAGTGAATACTGCTACCATATCTAGCTTGGTGGTCCTGCTATATATCTCAAGATTCTCGATAAAATCCAAAGACGAGTTTGTAATTTTATCGGGCCGGAACTAGCGTCTCGACTTCCGTTTCTTTCCCACAGCTGTGACTTAGTTTCATCCTGTCTTTTTTTATAAATATTTTCATGGTTTTAATAAGCGCCCGTCCTTCGTACCTCGGCCACATGGATTGAAATATACAACGAGATTTGCCACTGCATCGCATCGTTTTCCTGTTGAAATAGCTAGATGTCATCGTAAGTTCTATTCTAATAAATCATACGTCATTAGACATAATAAAACGAATCAAAATCGAATCAAGTTATCAATATCCTTAATAAGGACAGGTATTATAATTCTAAACTCAAATAATGTATTGCTCAAAAACTTGTATGCTGAAGACATTAAAAAAAATCATTTTGCTTAAAACTGATTTTAGTATCTGTCTATATTTCTGAGATGAGGTATTATGTACATTATTTACATTATTCGGACTATTGTTCTCATCTTTGTCGCCTTATTTATTACACCGTTTCGGCCGTTGTACGCACCGGCCTTCTTCAGGTCATTGAAATGTAGAACTGAACCTTTTATTTCGCTCACTGGGTAGATTGTTCTTGTTCCACGTGCCATGTCTAATGGATGTCAGTTATCAGCTATCTCCTGTTAATTTCCCCCTGAAAGTTCTCAACTTCCTTAACCGGGTATTGAACTAACACTCTTTGGGTCCTGTCACTGGATCAGAGCGAAATTAACAGGAGATAACTGATAACTGACACACATTAAACATGGCACGTGGAACTAGAACAGTCTACCCCAGTGAGCGAAATAAAGGGTTAAGTTCGAAGTTTCCAACCACCTGACAAAGGCCAGAGCGTATAACGGGCGAAACGTTGTAATAAATATGGCGACAAAGATGAGGACAATAGTCCGAATAATGTAAATAAAACTTATTTTATTTGGAAACCATTTTAATTCGTTTTGCTATTTGGTAAATAATTTTCAGTTCTTTTGCCAGGTTCAAATTTCTTCCGTTCCGATCTCTGAATGACGTATTATATATATATATATATATATATATATATATATATATATATATATATATATATATTCCATGTTGCCCAAGTAAAATAAAGGGATTAAAGAATTGTCAGAAAGTGGAGTGTGAAGAGAAGAAGGAATTTAATCCTGGAGTTTGTGGAGTAAGCCCTAGCGAACGCACTCGACACTTGATTTTTTTGATTTTTTAAGGTACCCCAAAACTTGGTGTATACATTTTACCGTTTTGTAAATAATTTTCAATTCTCTTGCCATTTTTGTTCAATACGCTGAGATAATGGGAAACGTAATACGCACACACACATACACACACAGACATATTATTTTATGTATTTTAATGTTTAAAGATACACACGCATATATAAGTTAATGTATGCATCTTTTTAAGTTTAAACATGTGCACACACATACACGCACGCGTCGCTCTCTAAACGTATTCTTCATCTCATTTCAGATTATCTTTACTGTTCTTTGCACAAATGTACACATACATCAATGTACATATGCATCTCTCTATATTGCTCTCTGTATGCAACCCTGAAATTATATGTCTAAGTGTTTGTTCAAGCCAATCTTAAGTTGAGGTGCAGATGTAGCTCTGCCTTTGGCGTGCACGTTTTGCATTTACAGCAGGTATACTGCTGTTAGTTCGGACACCAAATTAAAAAATAAAGTGGGCATCAAATTAATAAAAAAAATAAAAAAGATCCGGGTAGCGAGGAATATTAGAGTAACGACAAAATATACAAATATAAAATGGCAACTTAAAAAATGAGTTATTTAAAAGGAACATGTCAGCTGAATACATCAAGCCAAGCCACTGGAGGCAGTTATAACGTGGGGAAGAGATTGAACGGGGAAAATGTAAAATCGAAAGGAACGGAATAAAGTGCAGACGGCCCCAAGTGACTTGATTTTGAATTTCTTTTTTTTTTTTCAAATTGTTTACAACAAATGGTAATGGCAAAAGAAAGACAGAAAGAAAGAAAAGGTTTTCATCATATATGAAATATACATAGGACAAAGAAAGAAAGAAAAAAGACCTTCAACAAATATGAAATCTACTTATAAAAAAGAAAGAATGAGAGGAAGAAAAGGCCCTTACCAAATATGAAATTTAAATAGGATAAAGAAATAAAGAAAGAAAGGAAGGAAGGAAGGAAGAAAGAAAGAAAAGGCCTTCACCTAATATGAAATTTACAACAGACAAAAAAAGAAATACTTTCAACAAATATCAAATCTACATATAAAAAAGAACAGTAAATATGAACGTAGAACAAAGAAAGATATTCAACAAATATGAAAACTACATATAACAAAGAAAGAAAAAAGAAAGAAAGAATGGCTATGAAGGAAAAGAAGAAAGTGAAAAATGAAAATAGTGTGAAATCCCAGAGTTATAGATGTAAAAGTTAAAACGTGCAAAATGCGTGACACAAGAATAAGTAAAAATTTATTAAAAAAAAGTGTATACATTCATATGAACATCCTCTTATGACAGATAGATAGATAGATAGATAGGAAAGGAAAAAGTAACAAAATAATTATTGAGAAGGATTGCGAAACAGAAAATGAGTGACAAAGAAAGAAAATGAAAATTTGATTTATTAAGAAAAAGGTTTAAACGGGAATGTGTTAAATAAATAAAAAATAAAGCATAAATAATGATTTTCTATCCTCTTTATATATTTTCGTAAATTTTTCAAGGTTATAACCAGTAAAACATATGATTGAATCCCACGTTGAATATTAAAAACCCTATACACATCTCTCTATCTCTTTCTGATATATATATGTATGCATACGTGTGTGTTTGTGTGTGATTTTTTTCAGGGATCTTTTTTGCTGAGAGAAAGGTGATTTCAATTTACAGGTGAATTTCTTATTTCCTTTGGAAATATTTTTTTTCTTCACATAGTTTTATTGTTGGTGTTAATTTATGTGAACTCAATGTTCAATTCTGATTGAAACAACCGAACTAAAAAAGGAAACGATGTGAGGTGGGGGAAGGAGTAAAGATTCCGACAGTGAGGGGAGAGCATGCATGTGATAAGAAAGAATGAAAGAAAGAAAGAAAGAATATAAAATGATACTAGAAGAGAAAGAAAATGATATTAGAAATGAAATAAAAGAAAGAAAGAAAGAAAGAAAGAAAGAAAAAACAAACAAAGGAAAAAAGAAAAAAAAAGAAAGGGAAACGACTGAAATAAAGATTAAAGAAGATAGAAAATTAAGGCAGAACATGAAAGAAAATTACTGAAAAATAAAGGGAGAAACAAAGTCCTTCAGCAAATATGAACATACAACAAAGAAAGAAAGTAAGCTTTTCTATGTATTTGTATGTTCTTTTGTTTTTCAGCACAAATGTAAAAGATAAAGAAAGAAGTTATCTGGATAAGAACGAAAAATCCAAGTGGAATAGCAAGAAAATGACAGAAAAAAGCTAATAACGAGGAAAAGCAAAAACATATTGAAACAAAAATATTAATCAAGCGAAAAATCATTGAAAAAAAACCAAAAGCCTGTTAAAATGTATGAACAAACGGCGCAGCTGTATTACGCGGGATTTTAAATAATGCCCGACAGTCACTCGGATAGTTCATATCTGTCACTTAAAGAAAAAGATATAAAAGTAAAGAAATAATATTTGGGGAATCGAGGCCTACTTGCAAAGATTGATCTCCTTTCGTCGAAAACATTCAGACACTTTCCCAAGTTTGTTCTACATGATATGTTGTACGTACACAGTTGGTGATGCTTCAGTCGTTAGTTATTCGAAAATATACAGTATTTATCTTGCTATCTGTTAATGGAATGTGATAGATAGATAGATAGATAGATAGATAGATAGATAGATACGAATAGGACGAGATAGATTTGAACAGGTTGATAGATAAATAGATAGATATGAATAGGCTGCGATAGGTATGAACAGGCAGGTAGATAGATAGATAGATAGATAGATAGAAAGAAAAAAGAGAAAAGAACCGTCTGAAATAAGGTCTAGATACAAGCCTAGTTTGACGGTGTTGACATTAGATTTGATTTATATATATATATATATATATATATATATATATATATATATATATTCAACATCATCCTTGATAAGACACCGGGGTGTTGAAACAAAACAGCTATTTTTGTAGTGATTTTATAACATATTTATGTTATAAATTTTTTTTTAATAATTATATCTGCTCTACTTTGTATTGAGCACTCTTTTAAGTATAGTAATTGTTGGTTATTGGAATTCATTCCGTATATACCAATTATATACTTGAATATATATATATATATATATATATATATATATATATATATATATATGCATAAAACACTCATATACGTATATATACTATATATATATATATATATATATATATATATATATATATATATATATTAAGACATTTTATGTTTATACATTCTTTTTATAGATACAAATATTTAAGTAAATATTTACTTAAATATTTGTTTCTATAAAAAAATGTATAAACATAAAAATGTCATAAAATAATTGTCGGACTTTGTCCATTTCATTATATATATATATATATATATATATATATATATATATATATATATATATACGATTTTCACGCTCACGCGATCTTGAAATGAATTTACCGGCCGTCCAATTTGTCTCAAGATGTCATGAGCGTGAAACTCGAGTTACGACTAGAGTCATCCTTTCATAGTATTTAACGATGTTAAACGAGTCTTGCTCGGTCTAGCAATCAAGGCTTTCGGTACTTTATTTAACTGAGTAGGTAAGTTTTCCTTTAGCCAATTTTTTCTTTTCTTTTTTTCAGTATCGTCGGTTTTATTCGAGATTCTGGATAAGAATTTTAGCTTTTGGCAATTTTTTGCTTGGTAAACGTATGATGGCCTAATTGGGTTTACAATGAAACAGACTGCCGTCACTGAGATTTGACTTCAATATACTCATCTATGCCTGATATAACTTTACCCCATAAATATAGCCTGCCTTAAAACTATATTTCATCTATCTATCTATCTATCTATCTATCTATCTATCTATCTATCTATATTTGTAAATTGATTGCACGTTTATCGTAATTTAAATAACTGATCCAAGTGCGACTTTTGGATAATAAGTGCGACATTACTGTAATTATTGAACAATATAGTTCATGCCACTTTGACAGAAAAATTACCAGTAAAAAATTCGTTCATCACCATATTTCATATGAACGCACAACCTTTAAAAATTTAAAATCAAACTCAGCGTTGCTACTGCGCGCTCCAAAAACAATAACTCATTTTCAATAGCATTTTCGGATACAACAATACATATATTTTCGTTGTCCTCTTATTACTAAGAGAAAAAACAAGAACAACATCTATTCTATACCTGAAGATGTCTGTAGGAACAGACGAAAGCTTGTAGTAAAAGTAAGAACTAATACGGCAGAAATTTATGGAAACAAGGATCATTTCATTCATAACGGATTCGGAGGTTTTTGTATATTATTTGAATTGTTTGCGATGATGGATTTCTCGCCAATTAAATCATTAACCTTTGCATTTGTTTTTGTGTTTAATTCATGAATTTATATATATATATATATATATATATATATATATATATATATATATATGAGTGTGTGTGTGTGTGTGTTTTTATTAAAACGACAAGGTACTACGAATAAGCTTTTTATTTAGTCTTTCTTGAAAAATAAAACATGTTTGTAACACTAAAACATGCATACATTCCACAATCCCAATTAAATTGAAAAAAATAAAATCGTCCTTGATAATGGCTAAAAGTACAGCCGAAAATGCTCGGAATTATAGAACATTTGGAGAGTTTCTACACACCTTGATTTCAAAAAAGAAAACACTTTTTTGAACACAAGAAAAATTAAATAATACGATTAATCGGAGATGAAGGACTGTTGCTTAAATACACAATATATATATATATATATATATATATATATATATATATATATATATATATATATATATTCGCACATATATTGCTGGTGCTAATAAAACAGTGCTCGATGTAATACAACACAGCTATTAAGTACATGTTAATAAATATATATATTATCCCTTACTGATAGCACGACTCGGAGTTTCATGCACAGTGCAATCTTCAGGTGTTGCGTAAAAACTGACCGTTACGTAATTTAAATTTTAAATTTTAAAATATCTTCTTTTAAATTTTAAAATATCTTCTTATCGCAATCCGGTCATATTTGGGAAAGAGCTGCCCAGTCCTCACTTTCCAGTCACGATAGAGTTCAAAAGCATGTCCGCGTCCTTGTGGGTGACGAGTTATTTTCCACCCTGAATCCTCTATCTCTCCCACACAGAAGAGATCTGGCAAGCCTCTCACTGTTCTATTGCTACTTCCATGGAAAGTGCTCGAACGAACTTCATTCCTTGGTCCTACCTGTTCTAAATTCCACGGCAGGACTCATTATGCTACGCTAATTGAAGCAATCCACCCTCCTCCCCTCTGTATTCCATTGATAAGAAGTAAGATCTACTCGAACAGCTTCTTCCCACGAACCATTGCTCTGTGGAACCGACATATAAGAGGACGTTTTCTCTGTCACTACACTCTTAACCTCATCATGTCTAGGGTTAACCGTTACTTTCTCCACATAACCGCATAAAATGTGTCTCTTATTTTGTAATCTTGTACCTAGAGTGGCTCCTGGGCATTGTACAGGATTAAATCCAACCGTAAAAGAAAATTTCTGTCATATTTAAAAAGTCAAAGGCCACAACACTCTAGCATATGTCAGCAAACTGTAAACAGAGCATACGCATTATAGTAGCAACTAGCAGCATGGCCCGGCGTTGCCCGTGCTTGATTAAAAATTGTACGACTCATACAACAATCGCTATCACTTGACTTTTTTTGATATTTTTGCCCTTCTTTGCCTTTAAAGGAGTGCCCTTTGCCGTGCTGATGTTGCTACATGCCTTACTTCTTGCCTATCTCACACTGCAAATTTTTTCTAAGCTCTATGCTAAACATTAAATCTGTTACGAAAAAAGAACTAAACAAAATGAACACAAAACGATCAGCTTTAAAAAAGGACTCGTAACTGAAAAAACCGAATGAAAAAAGAATGTTAACAACAAATACTTTTTCACACTCAACCCAGTTCTGCGGAATCTGAATCAACGTTGAGTTTAAGCAAGCGAATGAGCCAATTGGAGTAAAGTGCCATGCAGATTAAAATTTTTCCCACTTGTGACGAATGCAGCTATAGATTTTTTTGCATGCTAGTTAACATTCGTGTCAGTCAGTTGTTGGCTTTCACGCTCGCCAATAGAATCTTCCTGCCTATTCGTGGCAGCCAGCTATAGGCTCTCACTCTGGCCAGTAGAAAATGGCCGCAAACTACATGAAAACTGCCGTAGAAGCATAAAAAATCGATTAATTCCACTATCGATGGGAGTTGGGAAATGTAAAGTCGGTCTTGGCTTTTCCGCTAACTTGGAGCATGTGCATGAAAATTTTGGTGCAAATCCGTCGAAAATTGCGACCGTGCATTCGTTACACACACACACATGCCTTTTATAGATTGGGATCCATATTAAATCAAGACAAGCAACCACTGACAAAACCGCTTACTATTCTAGAATAGGCACTTGGATTCTTAGAAGCCTCACTACATTATATTCATACGAGATAAGAGTTTTCAAACTCAAAAGAATAACACTGGATTCATGTCACAGTGCAGACATTTAAAACTGGAAAATTAACACTATTCCAAAAATGTAAGCTACAACACAGACACTGAATTTAATATAATTTCTCTTTCCTAATGACTGAAGACAACCGAAAACCAACATAAAATGAGAAAAGCTCCTTTACGCCAGCACCCGGAAAAAAAACTTAAATTGATCTTCCAATAACAAAATTTTATTACAAAAGAATATCCTGCCTACTACGTTTAACAAAACCTGTTTGAATATATATATATATATATATATATATATATATATATATATAGATGGATACAGATATATATGATAAAAATATAGTATCAAGGTATGCTATGGGTATGTAAGGTATGTGTGGGTTAAATTACACAATATAAAGGATAGAGCGTGTAGAAATTTAAAGATGAATATTAGGGTTTATATATATATATATATATATATATATATATATATATATATATATATATATATATATATATAAGGAAAGAGAAAGGAGAGAGCTGGTATCCGATACATTACAAACATGTCTCATATTGACAGAAAATCAATTAACTCTGAAGCTGTATATTTAACTTTTGCGAGGAATTGTATTCTTTTCGCACGCAATTGAAAAATTCTGGACCATAGACATATAAACAGTTCGATAGAGAGAGAGAGAGAGAGAGAGAGAGAGAGAGAGAGAGAGAGAGGGAGGGAGGGAGAGAGGGAGTGGAAAGATAAAGAAAATGGTGTATATCTGTCCTAATGTGATTTTCCTAAAAGTAAAGCCTTATATTGGTTGTTCTAATATAATCAAACAAGTGGTTTTGACACCGATACTAACATTCCTTTTTGCAACTGTCATGGAATGTGTTAAGAGAAGTCGTAAAACATCAGTTGTCAAAGCTCTACTTACATGAATGGCTTTTCGCTCAATGTTTTCTCTGTGGTTATCCTCTCACTTAATCACCGGAGACTTTATATATAACGATTAAAAATATTACATTAAGTTACTTCAGATGGGAACAAACAAGCTTCCTTTCCTAAAATAACGGGACTGTTTTTAATTGTTTTTCTTAGAAACATCTATAGCTTTTAAGAAGAACACTTAAGCTAAGGCTAAAAAAATTACTCCAAATCTATACTTTCCTACAAATCAAGTGGGTTTACAGTCTTCTCACTGCTTAGGAATATCAGATCCTGTAAGCTTCGGTGTGCGGGTGGAGTAATGGACAACGGTTCTAAATTGGAACTCGAATATCCGATTTCCAGTTCCATTCAGGCTCATTATAATTACTTATGCACAAATACACTTGGGAAATATACGGATCCACCTCTTCCCCTCATCTATGGGTTAATTAGTAGGAGTGGTGTCAATAAATCATTATTTTCTTCAAAAAAAACCTGGAATCTAAAAATATTTTCTGACTTTAAATGACCTGTTGAGAAGCCGTAAAAAAAATCAATAAAACAAATCAGATGCTACATGTATAAATGATAGAATGTTAGTGATTTCTACGAATGTATATGTTATCTGTGTGTATTTCTCAGATGATGTATTATGTACACTGTTTACATTATTGGGATTATTGTCCTCATCTTAGTCGCCATATTTATTACAACGTTTCGGCCGTTCTACGCTCCGGCCTTTTTCAGGTGGTTGGAATGTCTGAACCCTTCATTTCGCTCACTGGGGTAGACTGTTCTAGTTCCACGTGCCATGTTTAATGAATAATATAAATAGTGAATGTATATATTATCTGCATGTATTCGTATATGAATCATTTATTCGAGTTGGAATCAAAAATTGAAAATAGGGAGGTTTGTATCATATACAAGAATAATATATTATTATCCTGCTTATTAACATTATTTACATGCGGATTATTGTCTTCATGTTTGTTGTTGTTGTTAGCACAAGGTTTCGGTCGTCGTGCCCTCTGACCTTCATATCCGGCTAGCCTTCAGGGAATTGAATTCGAACTGTACTTTTATTTAATCTCTGCTTGTACATTGTTCTTCGTGTGCTAACCATGTCTAGGGATATCTAGTTTAGTCCTTATTTAATACTGCTCAATTCGTGCTCGTACAGGTTTTACTGAGTGAAAGTAAACACTACTTGACCCAACAACTCAATTCAAAGGCACTATGTAACCAAATTCACGAAGAAACGATTTCATCCACTTAAGTAGACAGGGAAAATTCGTGTTGCATCTCCCTCTATCAGAACTAAAATACCTCTGTTATATCTAAGATGATATCTCTCCTGATGAAATCATTATCAAATAGTTTACTGACTCTATGTTGTAATTAGGGTTAAGACATTAACAGTGGACCTAGAGGTGCAATAGCCATAATTTTTGCCTCTCGGGAGGTTGTTTCTACTGATTTGATCAACAATTTCTTATTGATGATAAACCCGCATTCGACTGTTGACACAAAAGAGGTTGACGTAATGATAATGTGACGAGGATGGGTTCTCACACGAATTCTCGTAAAGAGGGCATACACGGGAGACCTTCAATAGAGTTGAGAAGTATTTCTCCTTCAGGCAGCGGTTAAACAACATTGCCAAGATTAGAACAATCACAGAAATTTGTGGGATACGATAACCTCGGTGTAAATTATAATAAAAGATATTGACGGTTTGACACTTTTGAGAATCGTGTTTGCGATTTTCCATAACTAGCGGGACTCAAGCATTTTGTTTTGAACATTGGCTTTTTCATAATTGCTCTTTGCCAGTGGCAGAAGGCCAATCGAAGAAATTACAGATAATCATGTAGAGACCCCAAGAACGTACCAGCGGTCATATATACAAAGTTTCCAGCAACAGGGATATGACTCAGAATCGTGACTCTTCACTTCTTTGCTTGGGGATCAATGCTGCTTATGGGTCAACGGTGTTGGAGAAGGTTGTAAGGTCTTGGATAGAGTGCGTCTTCAAACGAATAACACACATCTGCCAACATTAACATTCCATTAGAAGATCAAAGTTAACTGGAAAGCAACAGGCCTGAAGAGAGTTCCACAAGTAAGAGATGCGGAAAAATAATCTCTAGGCATATAACTTACGGTTACTGCGCTTAAATTCAGTAAGTCGAGGTACCAAAGAGGAGGGACATGAAACTATTTTTTAGAAAAGGCAAAAGGTAAGCTAGGAAAGGGTCTGATGCCGAGATGCCAAATTAGAAACGTTAGTATTGCAGATTTTTTTTTATTTTATGAAGAATATCTAAATACATAGCAGAAGCAGCATACCAGATGTCACATTAATATTCAATGAACAGACAAATGGTAAACTTATAAATGTGTAAGATAATTTCTGGCGAGAAAAATTGTCTAGCTTAACACAGTGAACCAACTTTCCTAGTAGCTGACTTTGCAATGGATTCAATATTATTTTACCACTTCATGTCAGCGAAAATATGTTAGCCTGAAATGGCACAATGAGTCATTCTCCTGGAGATTAAAGATGTATTCGATCCAAACAATTCACTTTCATAATAAAAACCTAACATCATATGTACTTCCTTCATTTATCCAATATATAAAAGTCTGTTGTTTGAAATGTTTCACTAGTTTAAAATGTAAATTCAAAAATGTTAAAAAACAACATTTGAATGTACGAAACACTGTATTTAAAGAAAACTGCGTGAATCCAATGTAATTATAAACATTTAATGTAACTCATTCTCCCTCTTATATTGCCGTCCTGGGTATGACGATAAACTACATCCGCGTCCAGGGTAAGATGATAAACTACGACCAACGGCAAGGCCTCTGATAAGGAGGCTTTGAGGAGTGTGGACCCACCTCTTAATTGCTGATGTTCCCAGGTCCACCATGAGCCGACGTGGTAGCACCTGTTAGGGTCCCAGCTATGGGCAAATAGTTAACCCCGAAACTGATGTAAAATGCATTATGAAAGTGTAAAAATATTTTTAATAACAGAAATATTTTGTAAGAAATTATTACCAGAAATAAATTTTTGAAGAAAACCTATTACCAGCAATACATTTTGAAAAAAAAAATATTACCAGCAATACATTTTTTTTAATTATATTACCAGCTAAACATTTTTGACAAAAAAATATTACCAGGAAAAAAATGTAGTCGGCATTAAATGAGCCAATGAGATTGATATGAGTAAAAAAAAAACAAACCAAACAAAACCCTCTTATATTCGTAACTGAATTCATTTTTCAGGATATTGTAAAAAGATTTAGGGAGAATATTTTTTCTTTAATCTAAGGATAGGTATATGTATTGGGTATCAACAACGAAAGTGGGTTCTGGGAGTCGATTTCAAATTTCGGGTAACTAGTTTTCGTTCACTTTCACATTAATAACTTCAGGAAAGGAAGTAGTCAGACTTCATCCGATCAATGAGTTGAAGAAAACGGCAAACTGATCTTTCTTTAAGTCTAAGAGATGACAAACTCGAAGTGGGTAACAGGAAACGACTCTCTTATCTTTCCCAAGAAAGTATGGCAATTCACAAATTATAAAGAAAAAGAGTTTCTGGAGAGACATGAACATCTACGCCCTGAGGATAAATGGCATTAAAAATGTACTTACTCCCTCTAAAATCTCAGTAAAAATGCTACTTGGCCGTGCATAATCTTCATATGTTTGAAAAGACCGTTCATTTTTCTCAGGCTGGAAATTTTCTCAAACGGAAAATTCAAAGCATAAAATATTGATTTTTAAGTAACGTTTTAGTTTTATACAACGTAAAAAAACAAAAATTGCCCTGAACCTTAATATAAAGATATTCAAAAATTTAATAAAATTAATTAAAATTCTTTCTGCCCATGACCGCCCATAAACGATATTATAAAGAAATAATGAAAATAATAAAATAATATTAACAATAACAATCGACCTCATACATAAAAAAAAAACTCATTAATAACCATTATCTACAATAATTTGAATTTAGCATAGACGGAGGCTCTTTTACGGAATAACCAGTTCATTTTCTACTGGGCGGTTGTAATTTGTCAATGTGATGTCTGTTAAAGTGTCTCTTGACTGTTCCGATTGCGAAAGATATTTGTCACTATATCTTTGGTTTTACCAACTTATCTATCTTCAGCATCCCCTTCAAAATATCCTTGGGTATATATATATATATATATATATATATATATATATATATATATATATATATATATATATATTATAATTTTATCATAATAGACAAAACCATTTTTATTTACTACAAAGATGCAACTTCGTTTTAGTGCATTTCAACTGCACTTTTATGAGTGAGAATCGAAATGGGTAACCATTTTCGATACTCACCTGTCGAAGTGCAGTTGAAATGAACTGAGACGAAGTTTTGTTTATATGGTAAAATTATAATAAATAAATAATTATAGCTCTACTATCGGTATCGAGCCCTCTTTTGGATTAATGCTGTGAACGTTGGAATTTATATATTACTTTCGTTCTCATCACATCGGATATATATATATATATATATATATATATATATATATATATATATATAGAGAGAGAGAGAGAGAGAGAGATAGATACAGATATATATAATAAAAAATATAGTATCAAGGTATGCTATGCTACACAATATAAAAAATAGAGCGTGTAGAAATATAAAGATGAATATTAGTGTTTAGTGGAAATTCCTGTATAAGGACTCGATATTATTGATAACATTCAATATAATGTGTTTTTCCTTAATGTTTCATTATACTTGTACAGTATATAATCCTTAAGTTTAATGTAAGTAGCCATCCACTCGTTCATGAAAAATTACATTCTACTTCCAGTAATGCGGTGTTTGGCTGCCGTGAGCTTATGTACATGTCAGAGGAAAGAAGCTGAACGCTGGTTAGCGAAAGTACAGTCGCTCATTCAGTACAAACCCTGTTTTCCGATTATAAAGTAGTGTTTAGTGCTTAAAAACTGTGTGCGGTATTCTTGAATGTGATAAACTATGGATGACTATCATGCTTCCAGCTATTCTATTTAATTCATTCTTTCTTTTCGCTTGTTTTATTGAATAGAAACTATTAATAATTTAATCATGACCTCTTTGAATCCCCAGAATTAGGTTCTGTGACAGTAAGTGAAATTCAACAGATAGTTTTCGCAGATGTCTCTGCAAGATAAATTTTCAGTTAAGAAAGGAGGCCGTTCAACATATCTATCTATCTATCTATCTATCTATCTATCTATCTATCTATCTATCTCGATCTCTTGATTATCTATCTATCTATCTATCTATCTATCTATCTATCTATCTATCTATGTTTTATTAAAAACGACAAGGTACTACGATTAAGCTTTTTATTTAGTCTTTTTTGAAAAATAAAACATCCCTATAACACTAAAAACTTACACACAACAATATTTAAATATCTCAGCCAGGAATAACCAACAATAAGAGGTACATTCGCAGTTTTAATTCTGAATGGTACCAAAAAAAGTTGGATCTGCAGCTGTAAAATGAATAATCTATTGTTTTGCTTCCTGTGTTTGCTGTTTGGATGTGATGTGACGTTAAACTAAAAAAGATGTAAGTCAAAATAAGCATAATAAGTGTGGTTTCACAGTCGGTTTTAGGAAATGTAAATATTAAGGAGAAAATTAGTGAGGCAAAGAGACTTTCGATCAATGAGCATAATATTAAGTTTAAAAGGAATCATGAAATTTTATCCAAAATAATGGACTGTATTTATTTTGTGGAAGAAAAATGAAACTCACTCACGGGGACATGATGGAAAAGATGGCTCTCTAAATCCAGGAGTATTTAGAGGATTAATATAATTTGCATCTCAATTAAATCAAGTTTGGAAGAATCACTTAGAAACCAGTACGGTTTTTACAGATGTTTGTAAGATCATTCAGAATAAGATACTTGATTGCCTGCTTCAAATATACCACGAAGAGATAAACTAGCTTCGTTTATAGACGTCATGACTGATGGCATAACAGATGTTACGGGACATGCTCAAATCGTCATTATTCCACGGTAGGTATTGAATGAAGGAATATTTGAGCGTTTTGAGTGATTCTTTATTCCAGAAAATCAAACTGCAGATGACATATCAAAACGTATTCTAAAACAATTAGAAATATTGGGCAAAAATGTTAGTTCAGACATTTGATGGTGCAAATGTCATGAAGAGCGAAAAGGAGGATTCAATCAAAAATAAAAGGGGTTTATAGTAGTGCACTTTCCATTCACTCTTATGAACATCGGATTAATCTAATAATGAAAAAAAATGCAGCAAGTGTTACATGGAACGCAAGAATATTTTCCTCTAATATTTTAACTAGTTTAAAATTCTTTTTAAAATCACCACATGTATCCATTCTCAAGAAGCATATAGACCTCAGCATTCTACGTTCATCCTCTACGAGTTGGAACTTTAACACACGAACTGTGAGCAGGGCTCATGAAAATTTTCAAACTGTAAAAACCTGCCTTACTGAAATTCAGTCAATATCAAATGCAGGTTAAGCCATTGCAGAAACAACAGTAATTTTACAATATCTGAATGATGATAATTTTATGTTTTGGTTAGAGCTTTTTCATTAGATTATGCCTCATGTTGAAGTAATTTCCAACCAAATGCAATTTTGAGAAGTCAATGAATATATAAGAAATTGCTAATTTAGAAATAAGAAAATCGATGAACTGTGGTAATC